ATTTCTAACTGCTGCGACTGGAAGAAAGGTACGGACAATAACCATTTTTGCAACTAGGGCAAAAGTTTCATTATAATCAATTCCCTCATCCTGCTTGTTCCCAAAAATCACGAAACGGGCTTTGTATCTTTCCACTGTCCCATCAGCGTTATATTTGATTCGATACACCCATTTGCATCCTATGGCTCATTTTTCGGATGGCAAAGGCTCCATGGTCCATGTCTGATTATTTTCAAGTGCCTGCATTTCTTTCTGCATTGCATCCCTCCATTTTTCATCCTCCATAGCCTTAGCAAAAGAAATAGGTTCAACTCCTGCAGTAATAGCTACCAAGAAAACGCGATGTCGACAAGAAAAATTGTTACAATTCACATAGTTATATATGGGATAAGGACTACCTGTAGAATGTGATTGGCCGAGTGAACTTGCAAAGGGACGCGGAGAAGGACTCAATCGCTGTGTGGTGTGAAGCACATAATCTCTCAACCTTGTGGACTGTTGTTTTTGTTGATGCCCATGCCCCAAATGAAATTCAGAGTGTTCAACATTGCCACCCCCCTTACGTCAGGACTGTCTTCGCTTACATTTTCTGTGGTGGTGTCACAAGAATGCATGGGTTCACCAACATTTGCATTCGGGTCTACGCGGGTTCGTTCCTTATTCTACACAGACTCCTTCTTCAGCGATTTCGCCTCACTGGTCAATCTCCATCTCGCCATTTGCTTGTCCTAGTAAATAAGTAGACGGCACCAATACTTCATCTGTCCCACCTATTCCACAATGAAATTGGCCTTGTGCTTTGTTTGGATGTTCATCCTCATTGCGTGCATAAGAGAATTCATCATCTAAAAATGTAACATCTCTTGATACAAAGAACGTGCCGAACTCTAAATCATACAAGCTCCATCCTTTCTTTCCAAAAGGATACCCAACAAAAACACACTGTCTGCTTCGATTGACAAATTTATCCCCTCCATGTCCATGATTGTGTGCATATGCCAAGCAACCAAAAACTCGCACATTATCATAAGAAGGAGGTCGCCCAAATAAAACTTCATAGGGAGTCTTTCTCTTCAACAGAATGGACGATGTTTGATTGATCAAATAACATGCGGTCAATACACATTCCCCCAAAAAATCAATAGGCATGCTAGCTTGAAAACGCAATGCTCGGGCAACATTGAGTATGTGGTGGTGTTTGCGTTCAACCCTCCCGTTTTGTTGAGAGGTCCTGACACAAGTGGTTTGATGAATAATACCATGTTGAGCAAAATAACTAGCCAAACAGACAAACTCGATCCCATTATCAGTACGAATCACTTTGACAGGTTTGTTAAATTGCCTTTGAACTATAGTAAAAAAATTTTGAAGAACTTGTCCCACTTCTGTCTTATCAATCAGAAGATAAATCCAAACACCTCTAAAAAATCATCTACTATTGTCAAGAAATAATGAGCACCACAAGAAGYTRCARTTCTATAAGGACCCYATAAATCACAATGAATTAACTCAAAAATATCGGATGCTTTATTATTACTAGAAACAAACTCTTATCGACATTGTTTAGGTCGGAAGCATATGTCACAACCCTTAATACTGTCATTCTTATTATTTTTAGTACTAACAAAAGGCAACAACTTAACAATTTTATGAGAAGGATGCCCTAACCTTTGATGCCAAATATCACACGTCTTGCTCTCTGTAGTCTTCATAGCTCTTGCTGAAGCAATGCTCCGGAAATATTAGAGTCCCTCTCGCTGTTCACCTGCTCCAATCAACATCCTCGTAGTTCGGTCCTATATCACACAAAATTTATTAGTGAACTGAACAACACAATTCGACTTCTCAATCAATTGCGACAATGAAATTAAATTGCAATTCAAACTATGCACATATAAAACATTAGTCAGTTTCAGATGACCGTCCAACGCAACTGTGCCTTCTTTCACTGCTATTGTCGCTTTTCCATATGGCAGCCCGACAGAGCATGGAATGACGTTCTTTATGTCTCTCATCGACTCAAGGCTTCCTGTCATATGATGAGAAGCCCCTGTGTCTATTATTCACTCTGACAATTTTCGCTTATCACTTCGTTGTTGACTCCCCTCTTTTTGTGTGTTCAAAAGGTTGAGTAACATGTTCCACTGCTCACTACTTAGTCCATTTAACCCAGTTTTGACTGCATCGACCGATTTTCCTTGAAACGCATTGCCTTGCGTAGAGACTTTGGCTGTATTGGCCCTAACTTGGCCGTCACGACTTTTTCCTCCTGCCCCTGCTCTGTGATTCCCCCCGCCCGCATCCACTCCGCCTTTCCGTCCGAACGGATTCGTTATATCCGAGACCGCGTTGCTGTTCCCGTCGGGCACTACTCCAATGTCCAACGACGACGAAGAGACGCTCTGGCTAATTGTTGGAGTGGTGTAGCCGTAAGAAGGCTTGGATCGGTAGAAACCCATATCAAAGCAGCGATCAGAGGTGTTCATCAGTGGTGGCGGAGGGGGTTTCGTATGCACAGGAACTACACTATCAACATTGGCGCTGTTATGGTGGTGATACCTCGTCTCCATGGATGACCCGTAGTTAAGATCGAGATAAGGATCCACGTTGGAGAAGAAATAGTCGTCTGACTTCAGATCGGGTGTTTCCATGAGTTTGCCAGGGTTTGGGTTTGGAAGTAACCAAGAAGCAGCTTCGGCCTCCTCGCGGCAGGTGTTATTGTCTTCCTCTTTGTCGTTACGATCGTCATCGTCGTCCGAGGACTTGAGGAGACCATTAGGAGCAAGGAGGTTGGCTATGTTAGATTTCATGGCAGAGGCAACCAATTCGTAGAACGGAATGGCAGGAATTTGCTCGTGCCGCCGGGCGAGTGGGTTTGCCGAGTGGATGTCTCGGTTGCAAGTGACGCAGAGGGCAGCAATGTCAGTCTTACAGGTGACACTGGCTGGGGCTTGCTCTCAGACCTCGCAGATCCAGACCCGCTTGTGCCGGGAGGCGAGCTTGTTCGCGCCATGAACCTTGGCGTTGCAGTTGAAGCAGAGGAATGCCGAGTTTGCCTGGCAGAACAGTAGGGCCGACGCCGATTTGCACGAATCACAGGGCTTTGCCGACAAGCTCCAACTCGTCGCGTATCCCTTGCCGCTTTCGTCGTCGATGGCCATCTCTCTCTTCTTCTTCTTCCTCTCTCTCTCTCTCTGTGACTTTCAGTTGGCTCTGATACCATGTAAAAAACCAAAGCTTTTCTGGTTTTTCCTTTTTCTGTCTCTTATTCATTGAGAATTCAAATATATATACATGAATACAACCACTGAACCCCTAAGCTTATGGCAACTAGAACTCCTAAGTTTACAGGGACTCAATCTTTCCTATCCTATCTGAATTATTCATGATAAGGAAAGAGGATATATACATGAACGGACTCCTAATCCTAACACTCGGCTTGGCTCGGTTTAAACCGAGCTTTAAGCATAGTATAATAAATAAATATTTTTTTATTATATACATATAAATGTAAATATATAAATATATAAATATATATAATAAATAATTTTTATTATATAATAATATTTTATATACGATATCTTTATTTTTATGTATAATGGTAAATAATTTTTATAATTCTTATTTTTTGGATGTAAAATAAAACATTATTTATATGTATGTTTTTATTTTTTATATGTATAATAATAAATTATTTTTATAATTCTTAATTTTTAATATGTAAAATAAAAAAAAATATTTTTATATGCATACTTTATATTTTTTAGAAAAAAATCTTGGCTTGCAATTGAGTTTGAGCCAAGCCGAGCTCGAACTTGCAAGCTTTGAATCAAACCGAGCTTGAGCTCAAATCTATAGCTTGAATCAAGCTTGAGCCTAACACAATTTCAGCGAGCTGAGCTTGAATAGCCAAGTATTCAGCTCGGCTCAGCTCGAATCCACCCCTACCTACATGTGTTCTGTTTGTTAACCACTTACCACTGAATTTGCTCTTATATTAGCCCTTTTGATATATACATATATATATGTGTGTTGTTCACTTGATGTTTTTTTTTTCATGTATCATTAGTGAAAACCAAATTCAAGTATAACAGGTCTAAGAAATTGTTGTATTACAGATTTATTGTTAACAAATCATATTTTTTATGTCATATTACTACACTAGGATTTAGGAAATATGAATAAGATTCAATTAAAACTTAAAACTTAATTTTAATAGTTATATTGATTAGATTAATTGTTTTATAAGTTAACATTAATTTATTTGTGTTTTATTAACTTAATTTATTGTTGTCATTGACACGCTGCTCAATTGCTCATTGATTTTATTTTCATTACATAATGGCAATTGAGGAGGGAAGTCGAAATATTTGTAGGAGACCATTATGCCATCTTGCTACGGGGTTGGACTATGATATGGAAAAATATGATATCAAAAAATCAACTAACCAATCAAAATTCATGAGTAGATTTTGATGGTTCAAAACTCTATACATATCATATCTTTCTTGTATCATAAATTTTCCTTAGGCTATGTTTGGTTTGAAGGAAAGAGTAAGGAAACGAAACCTTTACAAATATTGTATAAAGTTCCCGCATTTCCCTTCCTTTCCCTACTCTGTCCTTCAAACCAAACATAGCATTAGTAATATCAATGATATCCTTGGGTCACCGGTGAAGTGAAGAAACAAAAAAAAGTCAAGATAAAGAATGTGATCAGAGTCATTTGTACCGACTACCGAGACTCCAGCAACTAAAACCGTGGTCTTGAATGCGAAAAGGTAACCTCATTGCACGGGCTCGGAACGCACGGATTGCCACCGTGTCAGGCCTCACGGTCGTTGGATCACCATCGCGACAGAAGCTGTAGTCTTGAAGCGGAAAGACAACCCCATTGGACGAACCACGGACTCATGGATTGCCATCGCGTCATGCCTTACGGCCGTTGGATCACGATCGCGAAAATGGAACTCCCGCCCCGTTACCACTATAAATAGAATTGCATTCTCCAAAACAACCATTCCACATTCAAAAATCAAACTCTTCCCTCTAAAATCTTCTGCTTCTCTCGAATCTCTTCTCTTCTCTGAAAGTCAGTAATGGAGGGCACGAAGTCCACAAAGGCAGCCGGTGGCAGGCGAGGTGGTGAGCGAAAGAAGGCCGTCTCGAAGTCCATCAAGGCTGGTTTGCAATTTCCCGTCGGTCGTGTTGCTCGCTTCCTGAAGAAAGGCCGCTACGCTCAGAGGATCGGAACCGGTGCTCCGGTCTATCTCGCCGCTGTTCTCGAGTATCTGGCAGCTGAGGTAAATTACCAGATCTTCTATTTACCAGCTTCTTCAAGTCATCAACTACTTCTGCTTCGTTTCGTTGTTAATTTTTCCCTAAATCGTGTCGTTTGCTTCGTGAATTCTGGGTGAAAATAGGTGTTAGAGTTGGCTGGAAACGCGGCAAGAGATAACAAGAAGAACCGTATCATACCCAGACACGTACTGTTGGCAGTAAGAAACGACGAGGAACTGGGTAGATTGCTGGACGGAGTCACCATTGCCAGCGGTGGTGTCCTCCCTAACATTCACTCTGTGCTGTTGCCCAAGAAGACGGAGAAGAGCGAGAAGGCCTCTCAACCTAAATCCCCCAAGAAGGCTTAATTACTTGTGCCATATAGAGAATGCAGCCCTTTGAGTGGTGCTGTTAACCTTGTAGCAATCCTTCTTCTTTTCTTAATTAATCGTCTCCAATAGAAAAATCTCATCTTGAGATTCAGTTTTTTATGGTGTTGCTATTGAAGTACATTCCAAGTATGTGGTAAAATTCACAAATAATCGCCTCCGTTTTCCTCATTTTTTTTCTTGTTCTTCGATTTCGATCGAACGGGGTTAATGCAGAATAGGGGTTTGGCGATGGAACGAAACTATTAAGAAATTACGGTTAAATGTAAGAATCTCTCTGAGGTGTCTGACAATCGTGAAAACCCCCTGCGATTGCCTCCCTATTTAGTTTGTGGGAATCGGGGGGTTGGATCTGAAATTTACCTTCAGATTTTAACTGTTTGTTTGAGGAGGATTAGAATCCCGTTTTCAATATAGGTGGAATGTCATTTTCCCATTTGAGGGATTTTTCATTCCCTCCCCCTGCCTTTGCAACGAAATCTCATTCAAGCTGATTTTAGCTCCCAGTCCCGTTCTTGTATTAACCAACGTTGTTGGAGTAAACCATTATAATTTTGATTCGGGGGAGTTTATTCTATTTCTGATTACGACAACGAACATAATGGGCCTTACAAAGTGTTTTACTTTCTTCAATTTGACATGAAGGAGAAATGGGTATTTAAAAAATTTAATGCATTATGCTAGGGTTTTTCTGCCGGGTGTCAACGGTTAACTATGGATGGACTTTCGATGACAGTAGAGGAGGTTTTTGTTGAAAGTTCCAGTCTTGCATATAATAGCCGATTTTGAGATCTAACGTTGGATTTTGAATGCAAACTATATTCGAAGTCTGAAATTTAGGTTCTATCTATATCACCCTTCGTCCCAACTACTTGAAGTCCACAAAATGCTATTCCTTTAAGACTCCTCTGTTCTGTTTGGCCATACTTTTGTACATGCTAAAGTACCAAACCATTGCTCCTATGAAGCTTCCTCTCTGTGTTTGCCCAACAAAATGGAGAATGTGATAGATTGTGAATCTATTGTCTTGCGAGCCTCATTTACAATTCCAGGCAAATTGCAAGTCCGGATTACAAGTGAACTTGGATGACCCGTGGGTCTGGGTATCCTGTGAGTCCCACCTAATTGTGATTATAGAAGCTGTGAATCGTCCTCTATGCTTTCATATATGGCTCTATATTTTACTTATGATTTCAGGAATTGCATTTTTGAGCTTTCAACTTGCACTTGGACAAAGCACCCAATGGGTTCTGCTGTTGATGGAGGTTATGGAGGTAGGCTGGTAGTTCTAGTCAGTTTAGATGGATAACAACTCTAATGAAAACCCATACTTGAGGCTTACTAGCGGAAAGAGAAAAACAGAAAATTTCTATAGGTACCCTATACTTTAGGCCGAGTGTCAATTTAGTACCCGATTAATTACGAGCCATCCTTCCATTAATGAAGCTCTTTCTACTCTTTCTTTTTATGCTGCTCCAAAACCCTAATTTTGCCTTCTCTCTATCCCCTGATGGTCTCTCCCTTTTGGCTTTGAAGTCTGCCGTCGACCAAACGTCAGACATCTCTGCATTCACCAACTGGAACAAAAACAACACCGATCCATGCCATTGGTCCGGAATTTCCTACATGAATGTTGCTGGATACTCCGACCCTTGCATTGTCGCAATTGCCATTTCAAGACAGAATCTTCGTGGCTACATACCCTCCAAGCTCGGAGCTCTTATCTTTCTTGGCGGACTCCACCTCTACAGCAACTGCTTCTATGGTTCCATTCCTCTTTAGCTCTTCAACGCTACCTCTCTCCATAGTATCTTCCTCTACAGTAACAATCTATCTGGTCCGCTTTCGCCTTCAATTTGTCATCTCCTCTGCCTTCAAAACCTTGATCTTTCGCAAAACTCGCTTTCTGGATCCCTCCTGAGTGACCTTGCGAATTGCTGTCAGCTGCAGAGGTTTGTTCTCTCCTGTTACAAATTCTTCGGCGAGATTTTCGACGGAATTTGGCCCAATCTCGACAACTTGCTTAAACTCGATTTGTCGTCTAACGAATTCAACGGATCGATCCCAGCTGATCTCGGCGATTTGAAATCACTTTCCGAGACTCTAAACCTCTCCAATCATTTCTCCGACGAGTTCCCAAGATCACTTGACAGACTGTTGATGATGGTAAGCTTCGGTCTCAGGCATAACAACCTCAACGAACAAATCCCTCAGATCGGCACTTTTGAAAATCAAGGGCCGACCGCATTTCTTAACAACCCTTCCTTGTGTGGATTTCCTCTCCAAACACCTTGCATCGGGAATCCGCCAAAGAGTTCTCCATTAGACCAACAGAATCAGGGAACGATATTTGATACCAATTCAAAGAAAGGGCTAAAACCAGGTTTTGCCATTGAAAGATGAGCGAGATCATGACGATGTTGGGGTGGAATCGGGCATGGCTGGAGCCTTTGATGCAAGCATTCTCCGGTGCGACAAAGAACGTTTGGTTTGGTGGTGGATGGAGGCTTCACCTTTATAAAGAAATTTGGGTTCCTGGAACCTAATCATTTTCTTGAGAAAGAAGATAAATAATGTCAAAGGAAAATTTTGATATTTTAAGTCTTAAATCATATATAAGGTCACATGATATACATAATTAATGGTCCATTAACAGTATTACTAAATTATTGCATTTTGAAAATTCGAATATTAGATTATTATATTTTAAAATTCAAGTATTAAATTATTACTTGCCCTAAAATACAGATAACTATAAAAAGTTTTCCCAAAATTTTATTGGAGAAAACTTAAGACTTTAGCTGTGAAAATTAAGAACTAAGCAGTTGGCCCCTTTTCCTCAAAAGAGATAATGAATGAATGGGTATATCGAACGGGCTAAGGATGAGAAGAAGGCGATTCCTCCTATTGCTGTGTGGAATGATTGCCTCGGCGCTACAAGTCTTTTTTTTGTGGCCGTGACACACTAGACCATACCCACTCAACTAATACATCAACGCCAGGTAAGATTGGCGTTTGGTGAAACGCGGGAGTCGGGACTGTTAGGGGAAGCGAGAATGTGAAGCTTCCCAAACGGCTACATAAATGGAGGCACTTTTCCCCAAACTCGAGGCGCACAGACGGCACCGTTTGTTTAGGAAACGCCGACGGTACCGAACACGCTCTATATCTCACTTTGGTTGCATTTATTTGCAGTGCTACAAGTATTATTAGAGTGTAGTGTCAATAATGAATGGAGTCCGGATCTCCTGCACATGGCATCATGCACACTTCCCTGCACTCGTAATAACAATGTGCCATCTCAGCATTGAATCATGTGTACACCTCACATGTGCAACAGGCGTCTTAACCTTTTCTCTTATTTTTCATTCTTTGACTTCATTGTCATGTTCCGAATCAGATCTTGTTTGTTGCCTCTCGTCTGGCAAAACAATCTAATTAGCATGGGTACAGCAGACTTTTTGGCCGTCACGACACAGCCTGTGGGCGGTCCATTCAAAGCTTGAGCCGTGCTGTGTTGGTTTGTGGGTCGTCATGGGCCGTGTTGTTTTTTTCCATGAAAAATTTCGGGTCAGCTTGACACGGCTCATAGTCCAGGCCTATGTGGATCCATATTGTATCGTGGGTCGAGTCTTAGACCAAGTCGAGCCGTATATCGGCTAAAGCAATTTATTTAAAAAAAATTGATAAAAATTTAAAATTTTAATTTTATATGAATTTTATGTATAAAATTGTTTATATATAATAATTAAATAAATTAATATAATAAAATTAAAAAATATTTATTTTATTAATATATTATATACTATATTATTATATAATTATAATTTATATAATATTATATAAATATATAATATATATAGGCTGTATCAACCCGCGAGACACAGGCAGCATTGTCCACTCGGTTGTACAGTATCGTACCGACCCATGAACCTAAGACCCTAGGCTCAACACGGCTCATGGACCATCATGCCAGACGACACAACCCGATTTACGAGTCTAACTAATGAATGGGATGTAAATTCTGATTTGAGAAAAAAATTATACAAAGAATAAATAAGAATTTGCATCAAATCATTTTCACTACCACAATTTTGTATCAGTGCAATTAAACTTGTAGTGCATCCAAACGCATCTTTTAGGAACAATTAAGATTGCAGTAGATGTAGATGATTTGATCCGACTGAAGTCAGACCTGGATGCTGCTATCCACGTGGTGTGTCAGTTTTTTTAATCTTATCCTGTTACCCACTAAGCTCCCATGAACAACAAGAATAGAGTGAACACTCTCCATTATTATTATAATGAACACTCTCCATTATTATTATTATTATTATTATAATACGACAAATGGACTATTATTGAAATATCGATTCTTCTTATTACAAAACTAAAGTAGAGTAGATGACTTCCGAGTTGTAACAACAATCCAAACTTCGTTCGCTAAAAAATCGACCGACGACAAAACCACCGTTAAAACCCTGCTCGAAATTTGAGAGACGATGCGGAAGAGAGACAGAGTCCATGGCTTCTTCATCTAGTGTTGCTTCTGCATCTCAACGACCTTTGTCCAAGCTGGTCGGGACATGATGTCGGTGCACCAGGCGTTGACGTGGGGGCGGCTTTCGAAGAGTTTCTTGGCCGGCGTTCCCATCAAGTAAGTAACGGTAGGGAGGTGGTGGAGATCGGCCAAGGTGAAGCAGTCTCCGGCCAAGTACTTGGACTCTGAAAGCCGAGCCTCGTATACATCCAGAACCTTATTCAGCTTGGCTTCGTTCTCCTCTACAACTGCTGCATCCGTGGTCATGCCAAACGCGGGCTTCGCGGCCAGCTCCCACACCAGCTTTGAGGCCGCCGGGTCATACTGGTGGGCTTCCACCTCCATCCACACCGCCTGAATCGCCATTTTCTTTGAGTCCTTGTAGATCAACTCAGTCCCGGATTCCTGGTACTCGTGGGCTAGGTACTTGGTGATCGCCCTTGATTCTGCAATTAAAACACATAGCTTTCAGTACTGAACAATTCGACTTTCAAATTAAGCTTATGTCTTTGCACTGATCGAGGCAAAACTTACCAAACAGCTTCAAGTCTCCGTCTTCAAATGCCGGAACCTGACCGAATGGCTGCAAACCCATACAACAGAAAAAGAAAGTCAGAGTTGTTCTTTGTTTTTGGCTTGCCAATAATTCACTGGCTTCGTGGATGAATGTTAGTGTTTACACTTACGTTGAGGGCAAGAAATGGTTCCTTCTTGTGATCTCCGACTCTCATGTCGACGGTAACGAACTCGAAGTCGAGTCCTTTCTCGTAAAGGCATGCTAAGACGCGCCTCGCCGCCGTTGATATAACGCTGCCGTGGACTTTCAGAACTGCCATGGCCGTCTGACTTAGATTTAAATGGATGCAGAAAGACTGAAAGAGATTGATTAGATGGGGAGAGATGGTTGGGCAAATTAAGAAGCTTGTAGAGGGCTTTTTTATAGAGGGGGAGGGACCGACCGAAGGATGGAACTCGGCCGCCTTTGGGCCGGCCGGCCACTTGTTCTGGAAAGATCCAAGGCGTGGACTAGTAAAAGCTGGACAGTTTCTAGATGGTTGTGTGGCCGGCCGGTCTGAATTCATAAGCCACTTGTGGTTCTTTCAAAAGCAAAAAAAGAAAAGAACGTTCGTGGTTCATGATCATTCAACAAATCAACAATGGCTGTTTTAGTGGATTCGGAGGGTATAAATAATAGAGTAAATAAACAATTTCACAAACAGCTAGGGCCCCGGGAATGACAAACACTATGACCTCTCAACTACCAAACCAGTCGGAACATGAGGAAGCTGCTGTCAGTTCTCCACTTTCCCCTACTACAAGCAGGCCTGTTCTCACGAGTTCACATCTGCCCCACTGAACGGAGACCGGATCGGCTCCGTACTTATTGGTAGGGGTGTCAATGGACCGGTTTTGGGTTGGACTCCGTCCAAATCAAAATCCTTTTGGATGGACCAATAAGACATATTGAATTTGGACGGACTAGATGGATCAATATAACATATTGGATTGAACCTGGTCCGTCCATAATGAATTTATATTGGATTGAGCCAATATCTGATCGATTGATAGAAGATAAGAACATAGTTGTCAATGGACCAGGCTTGAGTTGAAATCGATCTAAATTAACAGGAATTTGAACAGATTGAACAGTCTCTAGACTGGTCCAAAATATTCATTGGACTGGATTGGTGTAATGGGCTCACATTGGACTGGACCAGATTGGACCAAATCCAGTCCAATTGACACCCCTACTTATTGGTTATTATTCAGGGGAGATGTTCTCAATGCGTGGCTGTGAGGAGCAGATCCAGTCACCACTGAACGCGCCCCAAAATCGTCCCACATGCCCCAAACAGGTCTGTTCTCTTCTCATTTCTCAATACACAGTTGGGATGTATTGTGTTTGTGTGGAGCGCTTTCTGTGGGGCAGATGTGACTTCTGTTCTTATTGCAAACTCATGAGGCTGCACAATATGTCCTATAATTCTGAGGCTTTCCTGCACACCATGGGTAGCAATTATTGACCTTCATTTAAACCTGGCAAAAGTTGATCCAATCCGTGATCTCGACCCGACTTAACTTAAAAAGCAGGTTAGGTCCCCTATCTAGTGAACCGAACTAGAAGGCGGGCTGAACCAAGCCGATCTGAACTAAAATTCAGGTTAGGTCACACAGGTCACATATTTTCAAACCAATGCCTCTTTTTTGGTAAATTTCTACACAAGATGGGACGTAACAAATTATAGAAATCTCTCTAGGCAGATCCAAAGAAGAAAAACCATCTCCACCGGAAGATAGGTGAGACGGCAGCTTGGTTTGCTTCACGATAGACATGGCGATAGCAGAGCGTGCAATCCAAGAGACTCCTGATCCTCTTGTAATCCTCAATTACACTTTTCAATCTCCATGGCGGTAGCACTAGCTTCTTATAACAATCAATGACCAACTTCGAATCTCCCTCGATGATTATGCACATTGAATTTACACCCATCACCAATGATCCATCTTGATCACCGCATGGGATTGGAGGATGCCTCTCCAAGCCCAAGATGTGTTTTTTCTTAGTTTAATAGTCCTGAAATTCTCTCTACCCAAATATTTGTTGTTGAGTTGACCAACGTTAGCTTACCCGCCATGGATATGGTGTTTTTCTTCTACCTACAAGTTTACTACTAATTTTATCTTTGAGGTTCTGAGATGTACTAGTCGACACTTTACCATCAATTACAGGTTCACCAAGATAAGAATCTTTTTTGCTGTCAAGTGGAATTTTGAGTGCTTTGGACATGACTTTTTGCAATCTAGGGGGAACATTCTTAGAGAAACCCAAAGTAGACTTTTGAGTAATTAGGGCATTGTCACGAAGCTGCAACAATATTATCCAAAATATATATCTTTGATTTTTAGGTAAGTATTTGTTTATGTTTTGGCAAAAATAATGCAGATGCAAATTGCAAGATGGAAATAGTAAGCCCATTTCTAGATACTTTGCAATCAATTTCCTTTTCCCTAATAGAAGCCTCTTTATCCATCTTTCTACCCATGGCTTCAGTACATAACACAAAAAAAATATAGGGAGATAGAGGATCTCCTTTACTCTTTGCCTAATACCTCTTGAGGGAGTAATTTCTTTAGAAGGAGAACCATTTATAAGAATTTGGAGGGATACAGATTTGATGCATTCCATAACCCAAATAATGTATTTATGATGAAATCCAAATTTTTTCAAGACCTTGTTCAATAAATGTCCATTAATAATCAATTAATGTGTTGGGGATGAGAGTACTGGCTAAGCTAGGAACTTTTTTTTTGGGTGGGGGGGCTAAATTAAAGTGTTAGACAATAAAATGAGATAGGGAGTAGGAGAAACAGGGTTTGAGGGAAAATAACTTGAGAAAGTTGTTTGAGGAGTGTTGAAGAGTAATCATCCTTTACATTTTAGTTGATGTTGGGGGGGGGGGGGGGCAAAAACCCACTTTATTAGGTTCTGATCCAACCTCCACTTTAGTAACCACATTATTTTTGTTATAATTTACTAATTAATATTTATTAGAGATTAAACTAGTTTTTGAGATTACACTATTTATTGATTAATTTAATATATTTTTTAGTATTTATTGTATTTTTGTAATTATTGTATTTTCATTATCAATATATTTTCAATAATTGTGTATTTTCATAAAAACTTTTCAATAATTATTGGATATTAACTATTATTATTTATTAGAGACATATTAGACTATTAATTTAAATAAAATTAGGAGTGTTCATGGGTTGGTTGTAGGCTGGTTGGCAAACCAAATCGACTTGGTAAGGCTAGGGAATTGGTCACCCGAAGTTGACTGGCCATTAGTGAAAACAGGACAACTTGGATTGTATCAGTTTGGGTCTTTTTTATTTTCGGTTTTGTTTGCCGCTTCAAAAGATTTAAACTTAAAAAAATAAATTTACATCTAAAAAATTATAATGGTATTATGAAAAATAAAATTTAAAAATTAAATTTATGACATAAAATATTTTAGACTAAAGCCGATTTAAAAATGGCCAAAACGAAACTGATCCAACCTGATCAAGTTAGGAAATTATTGAACCAAAGCTGACTGAAAATGCTAGAAAACCGACCAACTTGGTTCAAGTTGATTGGTTTCGTCAGTTTGATGAACAACCCTAGCTGAAATTAATTATTATTATTTTTGTATTGTAAAACAATTATTAAAAGTAGTATATAAAATATAAGGGAAAAACTATGATACGGGAAATATATAGTATTAGAAGAGTTTTCATCAATCAAAATCCACCCATGAATTTTGATAAATACCACCTGATTGGATACTGATGAGGGCGGATTTGGCCCTCTAGTGACATTGTGACACCTGGCACCTCATGCCAATTAAGTGCAGCCTCTTAACTAGACAGCTCGAGCTCGCCACTTACAGGCACCTCACCCTCATGTAGCCTGGCACCTCAGAGCAAATAGGTGACACCTGGGACCACTTTGGCAACAACTTGCCTTTGCTAAGTTGATGGTGTTCCACTAGGCGTAGCCTAGCACAGGCGCGACCAGGCACAGGCGCGGCCTGGCACGGGTGTGGCCTGGCGCACGCGCGAGCTGGCAGCTTGGCCCTGACACGAGCTGGCAGCCTTGCCTCGGCACGAGCTGGCAGCCTTGCCTCGGCACGAGCTGGCAGCCTGGCCTTGGTACGAGCTGGTAGCCTGACCCAGGCACGACCTGGCGGCCTGGCCCACGCGCCAACTTGACAACCCCGAGGAGCTCACCACCGTACCCCGCATTTTACGAGATTGTGACTTGTAACGACTATATTAGTTCACCCACTCCCCGACTTAGGCGGAAATGGGCAACATTAACAGTTTGTGGCTTTATCCCCACCTAACACGAAAGTAGGTCCCATCACAGCGGGAATCCAGGAATTGCTCCACCAAACCCACGAGGACTCTAGTATATAAAAACCTCACCCCCTAGAGGGGAAGAGGGATGGAAGGATGGTAACCCCTGCTCTCTAGCTCTCTCATTCTCTAATATCATCTTCAAGCTCTCTACTATCAAAGTGCTAACTTAGCCTTCGGAGTGACCTCGCCGGGTAAACACCCTAGGTTCTCTGATTCAGTTCTTGCAGGTCCCTTAGCTCCCGTCGTCTACATGGATGAGCATATCATCTCCTGCAGGGAGGATGGTCCCTCAGTTCCCACCGTCTACAAAGATGAGCTAATTATCTCCTATAGGGAGTAGTCGGATTTCACCACCAAGCAGCTCATCAAGGTAACTCACTGCAAGGCAGTTCGCCACTAGGTAGCTCGCCACTAGGGAGCTCCACTTCAGCCTCTGAGTCACAGGCCACTTGGGAGCAAACATCATTGACGGGGTACTTAGCCAAAATATTGATACATCACGAAGAAATTGATACGTGACCAGAAACCGTTACATCAGATATCACATTTGTAATACCAGTTGATTGGTAAAATAATTTCTAACATCACATCTTTCCCATTTCATAGTCGAACCCAAAATATAAATAATTATTGATTATTTAAAAAATAAAAATATATATTTTTATTGTTTAGCATTCGTTTAGTAAATCCCAATGCATCGCATGAGTCCTGCTGGTATAATATAAAATAGAAAAAAGTAATAAAAAGATAAGAGAACAAAAGCCAACATAAGTCATTTATAATAAATTTACAAATTAAGAAATCGTTGACAAAATATTCCTCAACATATTCAAGATCTGGGTATCAGAGTAATACATACACATTCAATTCAGGTTTTGACTATAAATTTCATTCTAATTAGCAAGCTTGCATTTTAACAAATGCACCTAAAACTAACCGAAGTAAATTAGCTACAACCCAAAACAGGGAGTATTTAGATGCATACATGAAATCGTGCCATGGAAAGAAAATAAGCAGCAATCTTTTCCTCCAAACAAAATTTGGGAGTAAGAAAGTAGAGGAAGAAGAGAAGTTGAAGATGATCTTCCCACCGGAGTTCCCGACTCATAGTTCAGGGAAGAGGGTATAAGGGTTTTCAAAGGTTAATCGGTTTTGTGGGGGAGAAAGAGATTAATCGTCTTGATAGAATTGAAATCTCAACTCCCGTATGGAAGATATTCTCAATGTACGATGAGATGTGCGTGTAACTGTAACTGTAAGGTCATTATGAGGTGTCCTGTATGATGCGTAGATCCCAATTCTTTTATTGGTGAGGGCTAACGAGATGTAGGAGTAGCGGATGCGGAATTCATTTTACGTTTCTGAGTATCAATAGACCAGGTTTGGATTGAAACCAATCTTAATCAAAACGAATTTAAAGGAACTGATCCATTTATGATGTTCACGTTAGAGTGAATCGGATTGGATTTGATCCAATCCAATTGACACCCTGTTAACGACCTCACTAAGAAAACTAAAAAAGAAAAAATAAATAAAAGTGGAATACTTTCCAACGTTATCCGATAAGAAAACGATGATTCGGCAATTATTGAAAATATCTATACATTAGATTAGACTCTTATCCAAACAGCGAACGTAGGTCCCACGAAGTCAGGCGGTGACTTGTGATGAGTTGTAACAACAATCAACACGTTGCTCATAAAAGGTAGGCAATAGACAAAAGAGCCCATGGATTCTGGCTTCATTCTAGGGCTGATTTTGCATTTCATGGACCTTTGACCATGCTGGACGGGATAAGATGTCGGAGCATAAGGCGTTGACGTGAGGGCTGTTGGAAAATGGAGTCATTGTAACTTTGGAGAAGTTATGAAGCGTGTCTGAAGATATTGTTTTTAGAACGTTATTTGTCCCTACTCAGTTTTACTGAGTTTGTTATTGAGTTACAGATAAATCCGTTCACATGATACAATAGAACTACAACCAACAAAGTTGAAGAATCTCCGGAAAAACTTTCTGTGAGACTGTAATAGATCGGACTGAGAGAGAGAGTGAATTTCGAAAATGTGTATTTTTAGAGTCTGATTCATGCTCCTTAAATAGTTTATGAAGAGGTATGAAGAAAATGTAGGTGTTGGTTTAGAGAATGCACTTTGAAGGTTAATGACTGTTATTTTTGAATTGTGCCTCTTGATCACACCCGATCGAATCGTGATTGTTGATCTCATCAACGGTCAACAACGCACCAAAACCAAAGCCGTCCTTCGCGAGCCATGCGAAGTGTGCATATAAAGCTCCTCAATGCGCCGCGCACACGCGTGCACACGTTGCGTGGTATCAAACCCCCATACTCTCCTCTACTATTTTTAAGGAGTGTAAATCAGCTCCTATTGAAATACTGAAAACAAAGCTTATAATTTTCCAATGTGGGACAAGTTCAAAACTGAGTTTTGTAAGAGAAAAGCTAATTTTTCAATCAAGTGTGCAAGTGCAAATTCTCATGTAATTGACCAATCAAACCCATTGGATTTAATCTCTTATGAGATTAAAATCCAACAATCCCCCACATTGATTGATTAATTACATAGTTTTCTCTCAATCTAAACTACTATGATACGGTTATGCATACAAAATGTGTTTATCAATTTAAACATTTTGTTAGTATAGATATCTCAAAGCTTTGTCAAAGCTATTGGTGGTAAGAACTTAAACCAATTACACTCAAAACAGACCGGAGACACCCATACACACAAAAAATGTCCAATCTCTACAAGAGTTTCAAATTTTGCTTAGCACTGTTATGGCCATGTGTGCTTCTTTCCTGGTTTCATGAACAATCCCGGGAGCAAATCAAACTCTCATGAGAAGCGGCACCTCTTATATGTTCACATAGGTGAAGTTCCACTATGTGTTCCGTTATTTGACACATTTTAGAATTTCATTAAGAGCTCAACTCAACCTATCATCATAACGGACAACACTGTTTATTTTGTGATGAGAAATTTCTCAATGTCAGTGCTAATAGTCACATTGTTGTAACTTGTTGTTACCCATTAAACCCAATACTGATGGTTTTTCAGTTCAGGTTGGATTACCATTACATGTGATTAAGTAAAGGGTTTTAATCCCATCTCTTTGGTTGTCATTTTTACCAATTCTCTGGCTAAGCCCTTGGTAAGAGGATCAGCCAAGTTTTTACTTGACATCACATAGGTTATAGTAATGATTCCATCTTGAATCAGTTGCCTAACAAATTCATGCCTCAGACTTGTATGTCTGGACTTACCATTGTAGGTATTACTATAGGCTCTTGACAGAATTACCTCACTATCACAGTAAATGAAAATTGGAGGCATAGGAATGGACCAAAGTTTTATATCCAATAATAAATTCCTAATCCGTTCAGCCTCTTTTCCAACAGCTGCTAAGGCTATGAATTTGGATTCCATGGTCGAGTGAGATATACAAGTTTGTCTCTTAGATGATTAAGAGATCGCACCCCCACTAATGACGAAAATCCATCCAGAGGTGAACTTGTTATCTCTATTACCGATAATCAAATTTGCATCAGTGTACCCTTATAGTACAATTGGATAATCACAGTAAAACAAACCATGTTTCAAGATTCTCTTGAGATACTCAAAAACTCTCTCAATTGTCTTCCAGTGCAGAGCACTGGGATTATTTGTAAATCGACTGAATTTAGTTACTGCAAATGCAATATCAGATTTGGTACAAAGCATAATATACATCAAGTTTCCTACTGTACTAGCATACTCAAGTTGTACAATTGCTCTATTAGTATTTTATTCTAACTTTATATTAGAATCATATGCTATGTTATTTAAACCCTAAATAATTAAATTTCTCAAGTACTTTTTCAATATAATGTGATTGGATTAATGCATAACCCCTACTATGCTTTTTAACTTTTATTCTCAAGATCGTATCTACTTCTCCTAAACCTTTCATCTTGAAGAGAGAGAATAAGATCCCAATTCTTTTATTGATGAGGGCTAACGAGATGTAAGAGTAGCAGATGCGGAATCCATTTTACCTTGCGGAATCCATTTTACGTTTATAAGTATCAATAGACGAGGTTTGGATTGAAACCAATCTTAATCAAAACGAATTTAAAGGAACTGTTCCATTTATGATGTTCACATTAGAGTGAATCGGATTGGATCAAATCCGATCCAATTGACACCCCGATAACGACCCAACTAAAATAAAAAAAAACTAAAAAAGAAAAAATAAATAAAAGTGTACTACTCTCCAACGTTATCCGATAAGAAAACGATGATTCGACAATTATTGAAAATACCATACAGGAAATTAGACTCTTATTCAAACAGCGAACGTAGGTCCCACGAAGTCACACAGATGAGTTGCAACAACAATCAACACGTTGCTCATAAAAGGTAGGCAATAGACAAAAGAGCCCATGGCTTCTGGCTTCATTCTAGGACTGCTTTTGCGTCTCAAGGACCTTTGACCATGCCGGACGGGACAAGATGTCGGAGCACCAGGCGTTGACGTGAGGGCGACTCTCGAAGAGTTTCTTCACCGGCGTTCCCATCAAGCAATTGATGTTAGGGAGGTGGTGGAGATCGGCCAAGGTGAAGCAGTCTCCGGCCAAGTACTTAGACTCCGACAGCCGAGCCTCGTATACGTCCAGAACCTTACTCAGCTTCGCTTCATTCTGCTCCACGGTGGCCGCATCCGTCGTCATGCCAAACATGGGCTTGAACACCAGCTCCCAGGCCAACGCCGACGACGCCGGATCAAACTGGTGAGCCTCCACCTCCATCCACACCGCCAGGATCGCCATTTTCTTTGGTTCCTTGTAGATCAGCTCAGTCCCAGATTCCTGATACTCGTGGGCTATGTATTTGGTGATCGCCCTTGATTCTGCAAAACATATGATTATAAATAAGTCTCAGAAATATATATAGCTTCATCTTCAGTCAACAATTAATCCGGCCTTCAAACTTCAAAGCTTATCAGCTGATCGAAGCAAAAAAAGAAAAAAAAACCTTACCAAACAGCTTCAAATCTCCTTCTTCAAATGCCGGAACCTGACCGAATGGCTGCAATTGCAAACCCAGCAAACAGAAGAATCAGCGAGAAAGAAAATCATAGAATTGTTCCTTTTCTTTTCAGCATTTACTCACTTGCGTGGACTGAAAATATGAATGTTTGGACTTACGTTGAGGGAAAGAAATGGTTCCTTCTTGTGAGCTCCGGATCTCATGTCGACGGGAGAGAACTCGAAGGCGATGCCTTTCTCGTGAAGGCATGCGACGACGCGGTTCGTCGCCGTTGAAAATACGCTACCGTGGACTTTGGGAACCGCCATGGCCTTCGGATTTAGATTTAGATGGATGCAGAAGCGATAGACTAAGGAGAGATCAGAGATGGTTGGCGAAAGAAGCTCGGGAGAGCATTTTATAGAGGGAGGAACCCAACCGAGTTCCCGTTAACCCGGTTGGCCACTTGTTCTGGTTCTGGAAAGATCTATGCGTGGACCGGTAAAGATTAGGTGGCTACCAGAATGCCCCTGCAGATTCAGCAAATTAAATTTTCATGCCATTGGAATGTTCTGTTTCATCAATGCCATTGAATGCGGGACCAGCAATGACAAACGCTATGACGTCATAATTTACAGAGCAGTCCGTAGATGGGATTCTTGCTGGAACGACAGGAAGCCGCCTGTCACCTTCTCGACTGTCGACTCCCGCCAACTAAAATATAAGGGATACTTTGATTTTTGAAAAAGGTGGAATTCTCCGGTGGTTGGTGGATGATAATGCCACTCCTCGCCTTTCGTTAGGGGAGACCCTGCACTTTTTTATTTTTTATTTTTTTTTTGCGATAAAGACTCCCTGAATTTTAACCGTTAAGTAAAGGCCCCTTTCGTTAGTCTTTCCGTCAGTTATTTTCAAAAAGGATATTTATTTAATTATTTTAATTATTTTAATTTCTAAATTATACTTTTCTTATTTATTTCAACGGTGAGAAGATATCTCTGACCAAATCCAAATCATCAAAATGTAACTGATGTAGAGAGATTTGGTCCGACCTCGTAGTACGGGGATACGTGGATATGACCTGGCATAAGTGATAACTCAGCGTGACCGCCTGGCTACAACCCGATGTAACGAGCTCGTCGAAGCCCGACCAAACGACTCGGCGGGTTCACACCTACCGAGAAGCAAGGCCCAGTTCGCCACAAGCCTGAAGGCGGAGTTCCCCGAGCTCCCCCGTGCAAGGGGAGCCGAACTCCTAAGACTCGAGGGGACCCGAGTTCCCCTTGAGACCCGAGCTCCTCCCAAGGGGCCCCGAGCTCTCCCTTCCTAAGAAGGGAGCACCCCAGATTTTGGCTAAGTGTCCTGAGGGAGAAACACCTCGGGGCAACACCGTTGAGACTCCTGTTCGAACTTGCTTAAGGCCCGCCTACAGTGCGGGCACCTCGGTCTACCTCGGCACCGAGGTGTACCTTGGCACCTCGGTGCAAGGCAAACCTGCCCCAGGTGGTTCGGCGTACAATAGCTTGGCAGGTTGCAGGGAGATCTGCCTGACATCTGTGCTTGCCTGACATCCGTACCTACTGGATCCGGTGGCAGGGCTCGGATCCCTTGCCAGGCGGCGTTCTGCTTGCCGTCTCTGAAAAGCATAGCACGCCTGTCGAGTCCGTACCTTGCAGTAGCAGCCTGTAGTAGCAACCTGCACCTGCCACACCTACCCTGGCAGTAATGGCTAGGGCAATGGCGGTTATGCTAGATGTGACCGAGCTCCGGTATAAAAGGACCCCAACCCTCACGAACCAGAGGTATTGAAGCTAGCACTTTCAGCACTCTTAACTCTCTGCATCTTCTTTGAGTTTTCCCCAGAGTTCTAACTTAGCCATCAGAGTGTTCCCTCTGGGAGATCAGGATGGACCCAACTGATGAAGAGAAAACTGCTTTCATAACCGAGTTCGGCCTGTACTGTTACAAGGTCATGCCCTTTGGGTTGAAAAACGCTGGGGCCACTTTTCAATGATTTGTAAACAAACTGTTTGAGCCAATAATTGGAAAAAAAGTAGAGTGTTATGTGGACGATATGGTCGTCAAGACCCAATTCTCACATGAATTAATACAAGATTTACATTCAGTTTTCGAAATCTTGCGTAAATTTAATATGAAGCTAAACCCCAACAAGTGTGTCTTCGGTGTCACATTGGGTAAATTCTTAGAGTACATCGTTAACCGGCGAGGCATTGAGGCCAACCCAGACAAAATCAAATCCATCCTAGAAATGAGACGACCCCAGAAATTAAAGGAGGTCCAGAAGCTGAACAGCCGATTAGCCGCTCTAAGTCGCTTTATGTCCAAGTCAGCAGATCGCTGCCTGCCATTCTTTAAGGCCATAAAAAGCAAAGGCTTTGAATGGACCGAAGAGTGCCAACTCGCGTTCGACGAGCTCAAAAGGCACCTCGCCAGCATCCCGGTCTTAACTTGACCCGAAGTGGGTGATGTTTTAGAGCTATACCTCTTGGCAAGTGACGAGGTGGTCAGATCGGTACTAATAAGAGAAGTAGATCCGGTTCAATGACCCGTCTATTATGTTAGTAAAGTGTTACAGGGCAGAAACAAGGTACCCAGAGATAGAAAAGTTAGCCTATGCCATGGTCATAGCAGCCCGGAAGCTCCGCTCGTACTTCCAAGCTCACACCATCGTTGTCCTTACCAACAAACCTCTGAGGCAAGTATTGCTCAAGCCCGAAGTCTCGGGAAGGCTGACAAAGTGGGCCATCGATTTCAGCAAATATGAATTTCAGTATAAGTCACGAACTGCTATCAAGGCCCAAGCCTTAGTAGATTTCGTCGCAGAATGCACCTTTAGCTTCGAAGCCCCCAGGTCGGTGGAACATGAGGCCCCCCGCGCGGGTATGCCCGGGGTTCCCGGGTCGGTTGAACCCGAGCCTCGTGAAGTAGCAACCAGCGCAGCATCTCTCCTAGTTAGGCCAGGTCCGAACTGCGAGGAAGAACCCTGGATCCTTCACGTAGATGGCTCGTCAAATCAGCAGGGCAGCAGACCTTGGATTGTTCTGTACGGGCCAAGCGGTGTGAAACTGGAGTACACACTACGCTTTGAGTTCGCGACATCCAACAATGAGGCAGAGTACGAGGCGCTGCTAGCCGGGTTGGATTTGGCAAAGGAAGTAAAAGCCAAGCACGTCGTCGTTTGTAGTGATTCCCAGCTCGTGGTCAATTAGGTTATGGGTGAGTACGAAGTTCACGAGCCAACCATGGTAGCATACTTAGCTAAAGTGGGAGGAGCTTTGCTCAACTTCTGGTCACACTTCATCCAGCAAATTCCGAGGTCAGAGAACGCTGAGGCCGATGCCCTATCCCGGTTGGCCAGCACTGGTGATAACACCATGAGGACTGTATATATAGAGAACTTGCCTCAGCCTAGCATTCTCAGGGGGGCAAAGGAGGTCGCTCCTGTTGTTCAAGCAGAGCCGAGCTGGATTGATCCGCTCACGAGCTTCCTGCTACATGGGACCCTCCCCACAGATCGTAATGCCGCTAGGAGGGTAGAGAGTCAGGCAGCCAAATACGTCATGATAGACGGACGGTTGTACCGAAGATCCTATACGCTCCCCTACGTGCGCTGCCTACGACCCTCTGAAGCTGAGCTCGTCCTCTGTGATACTCATGAGGGCCTGTGCGGTGGACACCTGGGGGGCAGAGCCCTCGCTCAGAAAGCAATACGACAGGGGTATTACTGGCCAACGATGAAGGCCGATGCGACTGATCTCATTAAAAAATTTACAAGTGTCAGAAGCACGCCAACATCCACCACCAACCTGCCACCGACCTAAAGTACCTCAATAGCCCGTGGCCATTTGCATAATGGGGGATTGACTTACTCAGGCTATTCCCACCGGCTACAGGACAAAGGAGGTTCATGGTGGTAGCAGTTGACTATTTCACAAAGTGGGTCGAAGCTGAACCTCTCGCAACAATCACAACTCGGAATGTACAGAACTTCTTTTGGAAGAACATATTATGTCATTTCGGATTACCTCGGGTACTGATCTCAAACAATGGTAAGCAGTTCGAAAACATCAAATTCCAAAACTGGTGCCGAGACATGGGAATTCAGCAGAACTTCACCTCTGTGGCGCACATTCAGGCAAATGGTTAGATGGAAGTCACGAACAGAGCTATTCTCTGCGGACTAAAGGCGCGACTAGACCGAGCTAAGGGACTATGGGCAGACGACCTGCCATGTGTATTATGGGCCTGTCGTACCACAGAAAAGACCGCCACAGGAGAAACCCCCTTTAACCTCACCTACGACACTGAAGCAGTCATTCCAGCCGATATCGAAGTTCCCTCGCTGAGAGTAGAAGTGCATAATGACAGGGCGAATGAAGACGAGCTATGCACCAACCTCGACTTGCTTGAAGAAGTACGGGACCTCGCATTCATCAGGACCGCAACCTACCAACAAAGGGTAGATCGGTACTATAACGCCAGGGTAAAAAAGCGGACTCTCCGCGTTAGCGACCTGGTTCTCCATAAGGTTATGGTGCATGAGCCCGGTGTTGGCAAGCTCGGTCCGAACTGGGAAGGACCCTACTGAGTAAAGCGAGTACTAGGGGAAGGGGAACAAGTACCTCGGGCATGGGATATTGTTGTTGGTTCGACTGTCTTAATTTGTATGTTTATCCTTGTTGGGTCTTAAGTCATTAGTTATTGGGCCTAATTTTATTTAGTGTTTATTTGAGTTGGTGTCCCTCCACTAATCAGGGGCATTCTGGTCTATTTATGTAACATTATGTAACATTATGTAATGTTGTTATATATAATAGATTAGGGCTGGCTGAGAACTAATTCTGCCGCCCATCTCATATCTTCTTCTTCTTCTTCTCTCATTCGACAACTCTATTTCAGCAAACAATTGTCAACCTAAGACAGTATTACCTATAAATAACTGAGTAGACCACGAGTCACTCCCAGGGCTTAAGGGCCAAAATGCCGACCTAACAAAGACCTTGACGCAATAAAACTCCAAGAGCAGACCACGAGTCTCTCAGGGCTCAAGGGTCAAAATGCTGAACTAACAGACTCTGGCATAATAACCTAGCCACCTCTATGACGCGAACATATTTTAAGGGGCTAAAACACCGAGTTGACCAAGGAGCTCGGCACCATAGTACATGATGTATTGAGGGCGCAAGAAGACCAGCAGATTTCGCGACGCTTAGCTCACCTCGGCATACATCCAGAAGATAGTTCGGGCATATGCCTTACTATGCCTTACTGTGCCTTATTATGACAATCACCCTGACATACAACCAGAAGACCAATCGGGCATATGCCTTACTATGCCTTACTACGCGTTGCTATGTCAATCACCTCGGTGTACGCCACAA